AGAAACCCAATAACGATTGCATGTGTCGTCTGGTTTCGATGAGACCCTCTTTATAGGATTGTTGTGCAAAATGTCCTTCCATGTGAAATTGCCTTAGGAAGGGATTCGTAGGTTCTATTTTGCTGGAAGACGACGAATGCTTGTTGTTCTTGTGTAAACTGTTTGTCTTTACTATGACCTTCGGATTGACGCCGACTACGAGAAACATCCTCCCTCGACACCTCCATGAAACCCATTCTTGCCAAGGTTCGAGTTGACACAAAGTCACATGAACACAGGCTTGTTTCAATCAGCAATATTTTCGAGCTTACGCAATCCTGGTCATGATTGTCTTTGCATCATTAAACCGTTATGATCCGAAATGACTGTAGTTATTATTTCTAAGTACTGCGAAAAACTAACCAAAACATTATGTCTTTATCTTGAGGTGTTAGTGCATGTTTAGAGTATTTAGGATAGACCTGGATAAACTTCTTGACATTAGTTCCAGCTCTGATTTTCCCCTTCGACTGTCATGGCGGACGAAAGCTAATCCCATTTTTACACAATACAAGGGAGGACGTCTTGCGATCTCCGTTAATCGGAAGGTAGCACTTGCCATTCGGCTGCGAAACAACTCAAATCAGTCGTCCTATTAAGCTTAAATCTATCTACAAATCTATTTAGCATGCACTTTTGTGTAAAATGAAAATCTCCACAACAATGCCCTTATAGTGTTGATGTTAATTTTTATAAACAAGTCATTTACGAATCGATTATTTGTTAAATTAATTTATGCCTAATCCTTCACATATTTTCATCTAAAAACCTATGATTTTATACAACTACCCAAGCCTGCTGTAGTCGGTTTATTTATTATTTAACTAAGAAAAGTGACGATTTCTTATTTTTTACTAAAGTTTTTTATTGGGGAATTCTGTAAATATGTATTAAGTATTTTAATCTTTAAATTCGAGTCCTTTTTTTGGCAAACCTTTCATTTTGATTGAAAAGGTTAAGGGAAAGAACTCATAAACTGGTCTCATCAGAAGCCAAATTAGGATCGCTTTGGAGGTTTGCCTCCAGATTTGTGCTACTAATTGGTCGTCAATCCGTTTTAAAATGTCGACAAATCCGGACTCCTCTTTCGTCTGTCCTCCCGTGACAGACATCTTCGCCTCAGGCAGCCTAGATGGCAAGATCAAGATGGTGCTTCTTTTTCCTGTTGAGAAAGAGTCCTTCCATATTTCCGCAATTTGGTCGAGTTGTCAAGGTGACCTAGATGACCGCATTATTACCGGAGTACTTTGCTATGATAGCCCAATGTCGGGCCTCGTACCGTTCGGCAGAAAGCTGGACAACAGACAGGCTTCTATGACTTGTCTCTATGACTATCCTGATGCTGCGACTTGCAGAGGTCACTGACGATGCCAGATAAACGTCTGGAAATGTACCAATTCTAGAGTGCAACGCAGGAAATTATCATGGATACTAGGGCAGAGGAATCCGGACGAGGTCATTTATCGAAGTAATCCTGACAACAAGACAAAGTTGCAATAAAATAAGTCACACCACTTCTAAAATCCAAATTTCAATGCATTCTGGTTACCGTTCTATAACGAAATGAGAATGTAACAACAGCAATATTAATTTATTAATTGATTCTCTCGAATCTCGCTGTCTTCCTTAGCTCTATTCACTTTATATCACCTTGTTTTCACAACCTGCTCGGGGCGAGAAGGAAACGTCGTGCAACGCAATCAGTAGTCATACTGATTCCTTCCAGCCCTAGTCAACGATCAAATGCTGAAAAGTATCATGACTATTCTGACTGACGACACAGGAGCGAATGCATTTTACAACTTTTCCCTGTCGGCCCGAGCAAGTTGTGAAAACAAGGTCATACCAAATGAATAGAGCTAAAGGAGACTGTGGACAAACATGAGATGTATTCATCCTATTTCATTTTCCCACAATGACGCAAGGGTGCTCGGGTCACTGTGGCGTACTGATCAACATGTATTGTGGTCACCAAAAGCTTAGGCTCGAATCCCTCTGGGAGGGCTGATGAGACCAGTTTAAGTAGTCTACTATTGCCTGGATAAGAATGGCTTTTGGCAGGCAAGACTATGTGGGAAAATTCCTACCAGTCCTGCGTAATTTGGTGAATACATTTCATGTATATATTTTTCCGGTAGTCTCAAAAATCTACTTATAAACAAGACATGAGGTCACAACAAATTCGTCTTCATGGCTACGCTAAAATTAAGGGTAGATAACAAGACGAAGTGGGCTTCGAGGCATCGACTAATAAAGTAATATTAATAATATTATATCGTATTATTATAGTATTATTATCGCAATGTTAATTTATGAATAACATTATTTCCTATATGAGATGAATTTATACCTAATTAGTTTTTACCATCGACACCTCATCAGCCGTGTCGGGTTCGATTGGGTGTAATTCACATGTTTGGTTGGATTGCTGTCGATGAGTCAAAATTGTAATTGAACGAGGTTATAAAGATCAAGATCTTGTGGATTCTACTTGGTCACGATCGTGGTTTAAGAAATGATATTCAACTCATGTCGATACTCATAATATATTGATAGTTTAGAAATACACTAAATCAGAATATAGTAGTGCAAATACATGTTTAGCAGTGGTTTCACTTTTTTTACGCAACTTGGCCGTGCTGTCATGGCGAATGCGATGAACCCTGCCTTTCTGGAGTCCTCCTCTGAGACAGTTGTCATGACGATTTGCGGCAACTGATTGGATTTGTTAGCTTCTCAGGCCTTTTTTCCGGCATCATCAGATAACTTTGCTAGGTCAGCACCAGACTACAAATCCTGTTCATCTTGTCTATCCGACAAGTTGTATTGTATGGGTTGAGTTTACTTCCATTTAGAGGAAAAGTGTTTGGTGAAGAGATTTGAATGTTTATTCCACCAGAAGATGATGGTGGATTCTTCTTAGACGATTGTCAATTGGTTTTTATGGAGCCTTTTTGCAGACGCTGCTTTCGAGGCAATATCCTTCGATTCCGGTGAAAATGTTATAAGCTTTCGTCTTTCATACGTCGGACACCATCAAAAGCGGCCATCATTCTTACAACCATGTTCAAGTTGGCGAGTCAAGTGATTGTAAAAATGAAAAAAAGACCGGTCAAGGGGATCGTTACACTTTGATGACAGAGAAAAGTTGTTGCTTTCCGTTCGGATCAATTGAGCTGTCATAGCTGGTTTTGTAAATATACACACCTTCACATGAGCGTATGATTTGCACTATTCAGATCAATGTATACTTCATGAAAATGCCTAAGTTTATGGTACATATTTAGGAATTTGGGATCAGCACGTGGGTTTTTTTACTCGCCAGTTTAACTATGTTTGAAACAATGATGGCCTACTCTGATGATCTCCGTCATATGACATATTCCAGCAAAACCATTTAACAGATGACCAAGACGAATCCGCACGATCTGACACTTTCAATCGAAATGGAAGTGATGTCAGCAGATGTAAAACGAAACGATTCCGTTAAATCCAACTTTGATTTGCCTAGGACTGCCAAGAGGCATTGAATATGCCGACGAAATTTCTAAGAATTCTCTATATCCACGTTAGGACACAGAAAATTATCATGACGTCTATAGCAAAAGAGATATGACCAGATCGCCCCAATAACACGAGGTGAAACCAGCTGTAAACTTATATTTGTTATAATACCTGATCACACTACTATATTCTTATTAAATAGCTTTCCTAATTAAAAGTATATCATAAAGTACGAAGGTGAGCTTATTATCAATTGTTAAATTAGTTTGAGTAGTCTGTTGACTAGGTTAGTGACATTTGTGAAACATAATTATTTCAGATTTTATCAAAAATATTGTCCATCTTTGCAATTTGTCTGAATCATATTTCGTCAAATCCTCTTTTGCTGAAATGTCAGCACTTTGAGCTTCGACAGGCAAGCCTTAAGCCGAGCCGACTTCAGGAGTTGATTGAATTGCTCGCGGAAGCGTCTTGTCTTCTTATTTTTTGGGAACTTTAAACAATTCACTCCATTTCGTTTAATGTGATGAAAGTCTGGTAGTAGAATTTTCCCACAATGATATGAGTATAGCTGACCTTTTACATTGAATTTCACATAACCTGGCTTTCCCAAAAGGTGTTCTCATCCAGACTGAAGTGAACTGCAGTTTCGACCTCGCATAGTTCTTATTAACTACCCACTCGGCCACATTGCAACGAGTGCCCTTGGGTCACAGGGCAGGTGTGAATCTTAGTGAAGTGGGGATTTTTTCCAATATCTCATTCTTTGGTCGGATTGTCGAGGAAACAAAGTTATATTTGTTATGACATTCGACTACATTACTTATTTTTCATTTATAAGTTGAGTTACGAAACCCTACTTAAAGCGGAGGAAAATGCTTCGTCTGTTGCAGCAGACTCGAACTGTTGGTCGTAAATTGGCCTCACAACTAGCCCAAAGAGGGCTGATGTCCTGTTAATGGTTACTATAGAATTACACAATGTATAGAATCTCGCTGAGTCTTGGCGGTGGACAAATGGACAGGTCGGCACAGCAAAATCAATCGTCTTCTCTGAAGGTTGAGATCATCTGTACTTGCTTGTTTTCAAGCCACCAAGTGATAAGGGAAACATCTTCTGACATAAGTTATTTCATTTTCACAAGACAGTTTATCAGTCCAAATAAATAATTGCTTGATTTTGTGTAATATTTCACTTGATTTTTCATTTCTGAATAAACATTGATTGGATGATTGTTGCTATTTGGCCTCGAAGAACCTCTTAAAGGGGAAAACAGACTTCTGCTTTGTATGAGCACTACTTCGAAATACCGTTTTGCGATTTTGATGTAACGGCGCCTTAAGAGTACATACTAAACTTTTAAACTTGTTCTTCTGGTTGCCATGCTTGGCGTGACTGTTGGCTTTGATGCTGTATGTCAGTGCGGGCGGCTCCTCTCCGAGGAAATCCTGCATCATTTTGGGATGAGGCTAATTCACGAATCTCTTGCAACAAGTTGTTTTTTGTAAAAGACCAAAGGGTTCATGAATAATTTGGCACGGAAGACTAACCGACCGTCGTCTCTGTTCCACATGCTACCCATCCAGGCAACCATTCCACCTTGACACCGGCCGATCGAGTGCTCTGTAGCTCGTCGGGCCACCTCCACGTCCGACTCGACGTGAACGCCGGACCCGCCGAGGGCAGTCTCCTCGCGATATATCGCGTTACAGTGACCATCCTCGACGTGGACGACAACGGGCCCACTTTCAACAAGCCGCGCTGGCGTACCAGTCGAGAAGAGCGATTCTTCCAGGCGGGTCGACAGATCGCTCTACCGAAGGCCTTCGACGTTGATCTCAACCCAGCGCATCGTCAAATCGTCTATCGCCTCGAGATGTTCACAGATCCGCCCGACGTCTGGGCGGCCCTCTGGCGGGCCTCCGAGCGAGAGGTTGGCGCCGGCTTGACAACCAATTCACGACCCAATACCAGGATCTATCCGAACTCGGCTCCGGAGACGCCATTTCAACTGAGACTTGATGAAACCGGCCGCCCGCTACTCCGTCTCATCTACCGTCTTGACGCCGAACTGGTCGCCATGCACCGTCTCGTCTTAGTTGCTCTGCCTGCCACGGCCTCGAGTCCCGCAAACGCAAACGCCGTCAGTCTCGGTCCGAGACCCAGTCGTAGCCCGTCTCATCCGGGCGCCCGTGACGACCAAGAGGCGCGTCTGCTTGTTGAGATCGAGGTGCTCGACTCCAACGACAACGAGCCACACTTCGATCAACCAGTCTACAATGTCTCTGTGCCCGAAAGCGAGCCCGTCGGCAGCATCATTTACCGAGTAAGTTGGCCAGCACACTACATCCGGTACCACACACGCCACTTGACCACTCTCTTGCCATGGCTAGTGAAGAAGTTGGGCTGCTATGACGTTGCCTGTTTTGGTACCGCACGACTTGAGAACGGACAATTGTAAAAATTACTTCGAACCCGTTTAAAAGTATATTGAATCCACGTTCATGCCATAACTTTTGTTCACGATTTATTGATAGCGTCAAAATCTACCTTATGCGAATGCCTTATAATCACATTTAAATCTAACGCGTTAAATGCTAATCCCCACTTGCTGTATGCATAGCCTTGATGTGATACAAAGTGATTTGTTGGATTAAAATTGTTAGCCCACTTCTCTTTCGAATGCGAGTGTGTGTGTGTGTTTAAGAGATTTGAGGGTCATTCTGACCAAAATACGAAGACGGATTCCACTTGACCAGCTGTCTGAGGCTGCCCCAAAGAAGATCGCCTTCAATTCCGGTGAAAATGTGCCAACATTTCGTTTGTCATATGACGGTCAACATCTGAGCAGAGTCAAGAGGCTTCTCCAGTTTCTCTCTACAAACTGTGTATATAGTCTAAACGTCGACATGTTATTTGGTATAAAGTGATTTGGTTAGTCCAAGTCGCATGCCAATCTTGAGGAATTTGCGTGTGTGTGCCTGTGTGAGTGCACTGATAACTCAAGGTAATCGCAACAGAAAGTAACCTCCATTTTCGGTACT